CTAGGCAGGGCGGTACTAGTCTGTCATTTCAGCACTCCTGAGGCAGAGGTAGGTAGGCCTGAGCGACAGAGTGAGACCCCGCCTCAAACAAATAAGCCAAAGAAAAAATTACAAAGGAAGGAAGCAGGGAACGAGATGTTTGAGTCGATGAAGTCTTTTTCCTAACAGGAGTAAGGACAAAGCTTCTGTCATGACTGTTCTGAATCATACAAAGCAATTTTCAATGAAAACTATCCCCTAGTTAAAATACCACACACATACACACTTCCTCTCTCCCTGTCTCTCAGAACACCTGGGCATGGTATAGTAGACTGTCTCTCTTTCTTTCTTTCCTTCCTTCCTTTTGGTTTTTCGAGACAGGGTTTCTCTGTATTGTTTTAGAAGCTGTCCTGGAACTCACTCTGTAGACCAGGCTGGTCTCGAACTCACAGAGATCTGCCTGCCTCTGCCTCCCGAGTGCTGGGATTAAAGGCGTGCGCCACCAACGCCTGGCAGCAGACTTTCAGGCAGAGACAAACAGATCTTTGTGAGTTTAAGGAACACAGCAAGACCCAAGCCAGCCAAAACTACACAGTGAGACCTTAGCTCCAAGAAAGATAGACAGATAGACAGGCAGACAGAGTCAGCCTAGCTTTTTCCCCCTCCCCAGTCTACATATATTCATCCAGACAGCATTTGTGAAGCAAAAAGTTCATTCTTTTTTGTTTGCTTGTTTTTCGAGACAGGGTTTCTCTGTGGCTTTGGAGGCTGTCCTGGAACTCACTCTGTAGACCAGGCTGGTCTACAGCCTCCAAAGCAATACAGAGAAACCCTGTCTTGATAGATTTATAAAAAAAGAACATCTGAGCAAAGAATCCAGTTCCAACTGGGAAAACAGGGCAACACGTGGCAAAAATACAGTAACTTAACTGGTTCACATACTACAAGCAATTTTTCTTTATGCTGCTAAAGCAACTAAGACATTTTAATAATTCCTGCTGAGAAATGCTAGAACTGTAGTTGATAATGTATTCCTAGGACAGGATGCAAAAACAATGATTTCCAAGTTAAATACACAAAAGTACAAAGTTTAAAAACTAAGACTCAAATCAACCGCCACCCTGACCTACATAGTGAGTTACAGGATAGCCAGGGCTATGCAGAAAAACCTTGTCTCAAAAATAACAAAACTAAGATTGGAGAGGGGGCAAGTGGGCATGCTTCTGGAGATCAAATCTAGGGGCTTGTCCAAGGTAAGTAAGCAAAAAAGTAATTTAGAAAATTTATGACTGCAAGAAGTATGTGTGTTTGCATGCATGCTATGGCATATGGGACGGGGGGGGGCGGGGGGACAACTTTGTGAAGTCAATCCTCTTTTTCCACCTGTCCTTGTGGGCTCTGGGGACACACTCTGGCACACACCAAGCAGCTGGAAGGAAAAGGCAGTGGGATCAGGAGCTCTAAGTTCCAAGCTAGCCAGAGCTACATAGCAGTCTCCTAGCTGAGCTGAACTAACTACAAAAGACCCTGACTTTCAATAAGAAGCAAATTTAAATATATAAAATATCTACTTGCAAAAAAAAAAGCAATGGTAATTGTGATTGGTACTCAATATACAAAAACCAAAGGAACAAATAAAAGCTCCCTGCCACAAGTAGGGTTTAAAAGAATCCTAGGACAAGAGAAACTGTAACTTTCCTCCTTAGCTGTGCCTATTCTGTCAGCAAATGCTAACAGACCTGGCTTTTTGCCTTTCTGGTGGGTTATAGAAAAGACTAGATAGAATAAACTCTATATGTAACTATGGCTGCTGGATTAGGTCCATCCATTTGGCTCCACCAAGAGCACTTTCCTACCCTATAGGAAACAGGAGAGATAACAAGTAGTTCTTTTCACACATCTCAGGGTGTGACAAACTCCATGGTCTCAGTTTAGTTATGGCCAAAACAAGAACTAGGGTAGGTTGTTTCTCCCACTAGAAAGAGACATAAGGACCATTCATCACCAACGCCCGGTGAGTTTCTGGATTTCTTCCAGAAAGGAGGCTAGCTACCTGCCCTTCAGGGATGGCAAAAGCATCAGACTTTAGTGGACAACAACTGAACTTTTTCTTGCTTATTGCTCTAGTCAACTCTTATAACTGTACAGGGTCAGCTCTTAAAGGTTTTATATTCTTTAGGTAACAAAGGACCCTTACACACAACTGTACCGTATGCCCACTAATGTACTGAATAGTCCAGATCTGAGCACAAGAAGCCCCACCACATGAGAATACGATGCCAGTGCCATGCAGCAGCTGTAGCTGATGACATGGAGTTCCCATGCTAGTTTGCTGCAGGCCTGCTACAGCAACCCTAAAGCTGGATTCAGTCCAGTCCCGAGTCAGACAAGCTACAGAACCCTGAAAAGTTAGCATCAAAGTGGTGTGAGAGAAAAGATCACCTATCTGCCTTATATATCAAGAGTCAGTGTTCCAGTGTCATCAGTGTGCTGAGCATTTGGGAGGCAGAGGCAGAGGTCGGCAAATGCAAGGCAAACCTGATCTACAGAGCAAGCTTCAGGCCAGTCAGAGTTACTCAGTGAGACATGCAGTATCGTAAGTAACCCTTAAACAGACCTGCAACTCACCATCTATCTTTAGAATCCCCTTCACAAGCTATATGTGATGGTGCAAGACTATAATCCCAGCACTAGGGAGAGAGAGGCAGGAAGACTCCATTGAGGTCAATTGAGCTCCACAGTAAAACCTTGTTTAAAAACAACAACAACGCTGCCTCTACAAATAACAGAAACAAAAAGAAGAAAAGCATTCCCTACTGTTGTAAGTCATGAGGTGACACTTTCCTGACTTTAATCTCAAAGACAACCAAGCAGATGAGGTACAAAAGTCTTCCTGTGTGACACCCAGAGAAGAGCTTCTGTTGAATGAAGTGACCCACACCAACTACGTGGGGCACAGGGATGTGCGGTCTGAGCAGGTGGAAAGTTACAAAGCAAATGCTGTACACCTGAGCTTGCCCAAAAGGTATGGCTCAGAGACCACCAAAACAAACAAGGCTGCATAAAGCAGCCAGACACTCTGTGTTAGGAGAAAGAGCTCATCCTTCTCTCCACTCTGACTCTGGGTGGTTTACACAAAGAAACTCTGCTCAAAAACACACACAAAAAAGAAACAGCTCCTATGTGCAGCATTTGCTATAGGTTATTCTCAAAACAAGTAGGGTGCATTTTAGCTAAGTTGTTTAAATTAATTCTTATTTTTATGTATTTAGTATTAAATTTGATATTACATAAAGTATCTTGTTATGTATATAGGCAGCTAGTATCTATTCTCCCCATAGGCAAATGAAAGATATTTGAGGAATTAAGAAATGTATTTCTTGCCAGGCGGTGGTGGCACATGCCTTTAATTCCAGCACTCGCGAGGGAGAGGCAGGTGGATCTCTGTGAGTTCGAGGCCAGCCTGTTCTTAAAAGAGAGTTCCAGGACAGCCTCCAATGCTACAGAAAAAACACTGTCTCAAAAAACAAAAAACAAGGAAAAGAAGAAGGAGGAGGAGGAGGAGGAGGAAGAAATTTATTTCTTTGCTAAAATATAGCAAAATGTCATTTCACAATTGACCCCATCCCCCACCCCAGAAGCTCTTTAGTGAACTGCAGTTGAGCATTCCGGCAGCTCTCCTTGTCCATCTACTTATAGTTTCCATCAACTAATAAATGTGTTACCCTGGGCTTTTAGATAAGAGAACCAGAAATGTTAAGGGTTCCTCTAATGACTACAGTATTAATTACTAAAAAAACCGAATACCTTGAATATTAAAAACACAAAGCTTTGGTATACCATAGTTAAGTCTATTTCTTATCAAATATAATGGCTAATACCTAAGGCAGGACTATCACAGTAGTTCACAGCCAGACTGGGTTACACAGAGAGATTGTGTACTATGCAAACCAAGCTGGTCTGAAACTCAGAGATCTTCCTGCCTCTGCCTCCTGAGTGCTGGAATTACAGGTGTGCACCACCACACTTGGCCAAAAGTATATTTCTTACTTCACCAAAATTCTAACTAGTTGGGCATGCCTAACAGCCAGGTGAGGTCCACAAGAGGGTTAGTAAGTAAGGAGGTTGCTGTCAAGCCTGATTAGCAGAGCTGGGTACTTGGAATCTACATGATAGGAAGAGAAAACTGACTTCTACAAGCTCTGACCTCTGATCTCAACACTCAAGCTATGACACACATACACACCCCTAAATCAATACATACATGTAAAAAAATAACAAAAAATAAACTATTTAAACACACGAGTTATGGGGTCTACGGAAGAGTAAAGTTTAATGTAATAATAAGAACCCATTGGGGGTAAGTGAGAATCCCAACCATCACTGCTCACTTCAAAGTGATGCAGGCACACTTGGTAGTCAACCAAGAATCACCCACATTCCAGACCAGGTACTGCCCAACCCATGCCCCGCCTTCAATGAGTACCACTAAGACCAATGTGACCCACTGTCACCACTGTCTCCTATTTCCCTCTGTGAATGTTCCATGCCTCCCCAGCCTGTGCCATCACAGCCCAATCATGCCTCTCTCATCTAAGCTCAGAGGTGGTCTCTCACCCCACCCCCTAATAAATTTCTGGTTTTTGTACCATTTCTTGGCCATCTAATCACCAAGATACCCATTTGAAGCAAAACCCTTACAACACATCTTCATGCTCTAGCTAGAAAGGTATCAAACACAGGAAAGATTCTTTGCACAGCTTCAAACAAAATGTTACACCCTACACACCCCAAACAAGACTCGAGTAGCAAGTGTCTATAGTCCTGTTTGGGAGGTTGAAGTAATAGGTTTATTTGAGCCCAGGAGTTTGAGGCCAATCTTGGCAACACAGTAACAATGTCTGAATGATAGACAGACAGACAGACAGACAGACACACACACACACACACACACACACACACAGAGTGGAAAGAAGCAGAAAAAAACACAGTAAGTATTATTTCTTATATAACCACCTTACCTCACATTCTGAGTAGGATTCCACCTTTCAGAGGGCAGTTCTCCACTCTGTGGGTCATCTACAGGCGGATGAAGAATTGAAATGCACACATCTCCATTCTACAAGACAAAAATACGACATTCAGTAAATGTGTAAAAACTCAAGTCAGCACCCATAACCTCAGACTCAGACTAAGGCAAAAGTATAAAGTCAGCATGGGCCACACAGTCACACCCGGTTGCTACAGACGTAGGTGTGTACACACACACACACACACACACACACACACACACACCCTGTGATAAAGGCCTGGTGTGATCCTCTCCACCTTTAATCTCAGTACTTGGTGGGCAGAGGCAGGCAAATATATGAGTTTGAGGCCAGCCTGGTCTACACAACAAATTCCAAACCAGCTAAGGCTGCGCAGTTAGAACCTATCTTTAATAAAACAAACAACAAACAAGCATGCATGCAGTGAATGAGGCACATAAGTTTTTGCTAAGAGATAAAAGAATGTTTCTTTTTATTATGGCAAAAACAATTCTCCATGTTCAAATTCAAAGTTGAAGAATTAAATAATGTAAACATCCAGGTTTGGTGGCACATGCCTACAATAATCTTGGCATTCAATGAGACCAGAGGCAGGAGGATCACTCCAAGTTTGAGGTAGCCTGATCTACATACATACATAGATGTATGTATGTATGTATGTATGTATGTATGTATGTATGTATGTATGTATGTGTATGTATCAAGTTCCAGATCATCCAGGGCTACACAGAAGTAGTACCCTTTCTTAAAGAAAATAAAACAAAAACATCTGGGCCAGTCTCCATGTTCTGCCTGCAGCACCACGCTTCATAAGCAAACAAACATGGTAATTCTTGAATATATGGTTACAATCTAACTGCTGTAATTATTATAGCTTGTTGCATAAACATAAGATCTAATCCAACAAGTACATTCAGATTACTTCAAATACATCACAAAGACTGCCCTACATACACCATACAGCGTTATATAAAAGGACACACATTCAATAGAAAAGGAAAGAATAGGTTAAGTTAAACAGTCATTTATGTGTTTCTATCTCCCACTACCACCCCACCCTTTTTTTCCCTCTTGTTTTGAAACAGGGTTTCTGTGTAGCCCTGGCTATCCTGGAACTCACTCTGTAGACCAGGTTGGCCTCTAACTCAGAGATCCACCTGCCTCTGCCTCCCTAGTGCTAGGATTAAAGGCATGTGAACATGCCTGACAAAAACAAATTATTTTTAAGAGAATAAAATTTTAGGAAAATAAGTATCAAATGGTATATTCTAAAACTATATTGTAACTGGATACCACAGAAAGGTAAAAGATAGATCATAGTAATAAAGAACTATTATTTGTGTAGAATAGGGGAAAAAAACAAGAGGCTTTTTTGTAGTGGAAGCATTTACATGGATCTCTAATAATGAGTAAAATTCTATAAATCTAAAGGAAATTTAGACATGTTTCTGTCTAGAGAAATAAATCAGCATCATAAACATTAGAGAAGGAGCTGGGAAAATAGCTTAGATGGCAGTATTTGTTGCACCTGAATTGGATCCCCGGTACCATGTAAGAGCCAGGTGTGGTAGAATTGGAATATGCTTATAACCTCAGTAGAGATGCTTCCCTGGACTCCCTAGCCGCCCAGCAGAGTCTATGGGCTCCAGGTCCAGGGAGAGATGTTGAGAAATGACACCCAAGACTGACCTCTTGCCTCAGTCCAATTACACATGTGCACCCACACACAAAAGATAACTAAAATAAAAGATAAACACATGATACAGTAAGATATTCCTGGTACTTCTTTTTGTTTTATTATTATTCTAACAAACTGCCACAGCGTGATGGAGCACGAAAGCAAATTCAATCCTTTGCCAACACGGTGCCAAAAGCAAAGGAAGCTCCTGCCCCTCCTAAAGCTGCAGCCAAAGCAAAGGTCTTGAAAACCAAGAAAGCAGTGCTGGAAGGCGGCCACGGTCACAAAAAGAAGACTTACATGCCACCCGCCTTCCAGTGGCCCAAACCCTGAAGGCAGCCCAAATACCCAGGAGAGACAAGCTTGACCACTAACCATCATCTGATTGCCCCTGACCACCGAGTCAGCAATGAAGACAATATAAGACAACACATTTGTGCTTGCTATGTAGGTCAAGGCCAACAAGCAAGAGACCAAACAGGTGTGAAGAAGCTCTGTGACATTGATGTGGCTAAAGTCAATACCCTGATAAGGTCTTATGGAGAGAAGGACATACATGTTTAGTTGGCTCCCGATTATTATTCTCTGGATGTTGCCAACAAAATTAGGATCATCTAAACTAAGCTCAGCTGACTAATTCTGACAGTTAAATCAATGTGTTGGCTATCCTAGAAACTATTGTTCACTATACTAGAAACTATTCTTGGGCCAGGGAGATAGCTCAGGGGAATGCACAACTTTTCAAGAGGAAATACAAAGATACCAAAATGGTTGAAATAGAAAAGAATTCAAAGAGAGTTTTTTTGTTTGTTTTTGTTTTTTGAGACAGGGTTTCTTTGTAGCTTTGGAGGCTGTCCTGGAACTAGCTCTTTTTTTTTTTTTTAACCTTTCAAAAATTACATTAATGTTTAACATGCATTCAAATAACTTTCTTTTTTTTCCAGTTTAAATTTAGATAAGAAACGAGGTTGCTTCACAAGTCAGTTCCAGGTCCCGCTCCCATTCCCTCCCCTCCTCCCATGCCATCCCCCCAACCCCCCCCCCCGTTATCCCCTCATTCCCCCAGGGAGGGTGAGGCCCTCCATGGGGGTGTCCATAGTCTGTCATTTCATATAGGGCAGGGCCTAGACCCTTCCCCAAGAGTTCAGGGTGAGAGTGCACCTCACATTGTTCTATGGGAGTCCAAAGTCCCTGTGTATTCTTGGGATGGGTACTGATCTGCTGCCCAAGGCTAAATAGGTTCCCTAGGCCTCCTCATTGACACCCAAATTCAGGGGGTATTGATCAGTCCCATGCTGGATTCCCAGGCTGATGCCTGGGATTCAAGAGTTAACCTTTGTCTGGTCAGCTGTTTCTGGGGGTTAAACCAACCCAGTCTTAATCCCTTTGATCATCAGTCCTCCCTCTCTGTTACTGGCTTTCTTGAGTTCAGCTCAGTACTTAAGCAGCCACTAAATGAAGTTTCTGTTTCCCAGACTCTCTGGCCATAGGATTGTAGGCTGGCACTCCCCAGATCTATGTCTAAAATCCATATATGAGAGAGTACATGCCATGTTTCTCTTTTTGTGACTGCGTTACCTCACTCAGGATGGTTTCTTCTAGTGTCATCCATTTGCCTGCAAATCTCATGATTCCATTATTTTTTTCTGCTGAATAGTACTCCATTGTGTAGATGTACCACATTTTCTCTATCCACTCTTCGGGTGAGGGACATCTAGGTTGCTTCCAAGTTAACTAGCTCTTATAGACCAGACTAGCCTTGAACTCACAGAGATCCACCTGCCTTTGCCTCCCGAGCACCGGGATTAAAGGCATGCACCACCACCTCCCGAGCACCGGGATTAAAGGCATGCACCACCACCTCCCGAGCACCGGGATTAAAGGTGTGCACCACCACCTCCCGAGCACCGGGATTAAAGGCGTGCGCCACCACCACCCAGTGAAAGATCTGGGTTTAAAAAAGATCAATAACGCTTTAGACATAATCAAAACATGGATAAACCCTGTAACCTGCCTGAGGACCTCACGTCCTGACTGCCTCCTGTGCTCCTTTACGTCCCTCAGCCCTTAGCTGAGAAGCCCTTATCGTACTGCAGCAGATGGTAATTAACACTGAGACCCACAACTGACAACAGAGCAGAGAGTAAGAGACTGCAGAGGGCTCATCCCTAAAGAACACGATTGTAAGAGAGGACGGCAACAGTGTCAGGAGCCAGAGGAGGAACGACTACAAAGAAACATCTTTGCACAGCAGAGCAGTTACGAACTTCAGCAGTTGTGATAGTGTGCACAAGTCCTGTACAAGCCCAAGCCAGACCAAATAACATGGAGAGGAAAGCTGGGAACACAGTCCCACCCCCTCACCCCAGCTGTGGAACAAGCAATTGTTAGCTGCTGAGAAAGGTTCCTCTAAGACTGCAGGCCCTGGGAAGATGACCACCCTCCAGTGAGAGACCACACATAATTTGGGCAATACATACTGGTTACATATTGTTTTTGTTTTTTGTTTTTCAAGACAGGGTTTCTCTGTGGCTTTGGAGGCTGTCCTGGAACTAGCTGTTTAGACCAGGGTGGTCTCGAACTCACAGAGATCCACCTCCCAAGTGCTGAGATTAAAGGCGTGCGCCGCCACCGCCACCACCACCACCACCACTACTACCACCACCACCACCACCACCACCACCTGGCAAGAGTTTTTTTTGTTTTGTTTTTAATAATTTATTTAACTTCATTTTGTGTGCATTGGTGTGAGGATGTCAGATCCCCTGCAACTGGAGTTACAAACAGCTATGAGCTGCCTTGTGGGTGCTGGGAACTGAACCCCAGTCCTCTGAAGGTTGCCAGTGCTCTTAACCCTGAGACACACCTCCAGCCCCGGTATGAAGAGCTTTTAGGAGAGAGGAGAGCAGCTGGGGTAGGAGGGAAGGAGTGAGAGCAGAGAAAAGAAGAGTTGAGTGGACAGGGAAGAAGGGATGTAAATGTGATAAAGCACATACAAAATTCTCGAAGAATTTTTTAAAAATTTGGATGAGAAATCCAGGAACTTGGGCAAGAACTTTAGCAGAGATTAAGGTGTGGCGAGTGGGAGGAAATTGTGAAAAAGAAAAAATTTTAAATCATTCACTAGAGGCTGGAGAGATGACTCTGTAGTTAAGAGCACTGACTGCTCTTCCAGAAGGCTGTGGTTCAATTCCCAGCACTACTCACATGGTGGCTCATAACTCTGTAACTCCAAGATCTGACCCTCACACAGACATACATTCAGGCAAAACACCAATCCACATAAAATAAAACTTAAAAAAAATCATTCACTAAAACATCACAAAGCAGAAGGCTCAATATCAGTGATTAAAGACAAGATTGAGGAATTGCTACATTCATATATCAACT